TCAACTGATTTCTCATGTTTTAATGGATTTATTTCTGGTTCTTGTGTGATAATTAAATTATATTGCAAATACCTTTGGATGTTTTGATATGTGTGTTATTGTGCAGGATATAGGCATGAAACATCAATGATTAAGACACAAAGGATTAGACAAGGAAGCCAAAACATCAATGATGAAAACATCAATTCTTTGATATGTATGTTATTGTGTAGGATATATGCATAAAACATCTGCATGTTCATTGTGTGAACACTAGCGAGGTGAAAGTGAATGCTCACTATGCGAGATCTTGGCGAAGCCCCAGCAAACCATCTCAGATTAGAGGCAGTAAGAAAAGAATCCTAAGCTCGCTGGGTGAAGAAGTGTTCACACTACGAACTCAGATATCTTCCAAGGGCGGTTTAATTGTTCCTGAGGCACTTGAAGTGCCTAAAAGTGGTCTTCCTAGTGCAAAGAGGGTGTTCCCTGGGAGAACAAGACCAATTTTGTAATACTATTTAAGTATTTTTCTTGCTTTTTAGAAATAGAACTTTTACATAACATATATTTTAAGGATGAGAACTTGATCTCTCTTCCTTCTAAGCATATTCTAGAGAGAGAAACACAAACCCTAAGAGAGAGAAGTACAAATTGAAGTAACTCAGAGCTTGATCTTTGAGTAAGTGCTTCGATCTCTTGTTGGGTTTGGATGTAATCTATTGATACCTTATGTAATTCATCTAATCTATGTATTGTGAACTAGTTTTGATTCAATATTGATGTTGTCTTTGATTTCTTATTTGTGGATCTTGACAAAACCTTTTTAAATCTTAGATCTTAGATATTCATCTACCAATGAGAAAACTTTTGACATAGTCTTGTGAGTTGATATTCACTAGTATCTTTGACTTTATTGTGTTGATTATTAGCATGAGTAGCAATCAATACGGCATTGTAAGGATGCGTCATAATAGAGATGGAGAAACTATGTTCACTTATATTTGGCAAATTAGTTAAATGCATGTAAAAAGGGTTAAGGGTATGTACGTATTCTGGTAATGGCGTTTTATATGAATCAATCATGGATGTAATATGGATGTTATCTTTGTTTACCTGTTTATCTTTGATTTGAACCTTTCTAGAAATATACTCTTCAGGTCTGGATCTAGGATGAATATTTGTTAGGTTCTAGACTCTAGACATGGATTTAGGCTTAAGATTTACGTGAGTATCAGTTCCTACTGCTCTGTATTTTTGGTTTGCGTGAGACATCGCCAATGAGACAATATTGTTGTTTTCTCGATATTGCGTTAGACATAACCTCTATTGTGGGTGATACGTGAGGATATTAGATGAATGATTGATTTATGTTTAACTGGTCAGAAGAATGCATGTGTTTTCAATTGATGATATTCAATCCCAACAAGGCTCCTCTTATTTTAAAGTCTTTACTTTATATTTTTTGTCTTTACATTTTATGCCTTTATTTATGGTACCATTGATCTTTCAACAAATTATTACAACAACCTTAGAAACGTATAGACCATTAAACGACATTCTTTCCCTCGCACTGATCCATGTGGAGAGGATATAAATCCCAGAGGGAATCCTTCCAAAACAATTTGCTTCTTGCCGCTTTACTGCAATTCAAACAAAATGGCGTCATTGCCAGGGATTGGTGTTTAAATATTGAATCGCATTGCAATAGTTTCTATATTTTTTAGCTTTGTACAGTTGTTTATATTGTATATATACTTGTTTCCTTTCATGTTTTCTCAAGTGTTAATTAGGGATGAATGATAAAAACTTCTTCTAGATTGGTTGCTATTTGTATAAAAGTATCAATGAAGATTCTCCCAAGTTTGGAGGTGATAGTAGGATGTTGAACATGTGAAGGCAAGCAAGGTAAATTGTACTGGCTTATAGAATGTTAGAATGATTTAATAATTGTGTGCTTTGTACAAATGTATATTCTTGTTTCACGTTGCAACTTGTTTGAATACTTGTTTCACTTAGGTCCAATAGCCACAATTTGTGAGAAAACTCCATTGTTTACTATATGCTAGGATAACTAATAACTTTGTTTATTTAGTTTGATTCATGCTTAATCTTTTGATTATTATGATTTTGTGGAAGCATTAGAAATAATCAAGGCATTTGTTTATATTGAGCACAAACATATCCAAAAGTAACTTACCCATGAGTAGTGATAATTCGTTAACCCATTTGAGCCTTAACAAATTAGATCATAATTTGGTGATGAACTTGGTGCGTGTACATAAATTAAAAGTTAAGTTCATCATTGAATTTTGTGGGTTTCTACAAAAATTTCTTGAAACCTTTGGACATTGTTTAAATTGATTTCTTTTCCATAAAAAGAAAAGAGCATTCACTTAAGGTTTGGTCGAATTCAAGTTGGGGAGAATGAAAAGAAAAATGGTAGGTTGCTAAAAATTTTGAAAATTTTCAAGCAAGCATGGAAGAAGGGTGAATATGAATGTGAAAAACAAAAGAAAAAGAATGCTTGTTTGAAAAAGAAAAATAGAGAATGAAATAATTGGGCAAATTTTTTTTTGAGAAGGTTAGTAATAGAGGAAAGAAAGTGGTGAATGAAGTTGTGATGTGTAAATATCATGTGTAGTGAATGTTTCTTTTGCATTAGCAATTTTGATTCAATGGCCTTTAGAAATGACCCTTTATTGTGAACCTTACCAAGCTACAACCTTAAAAGCCTTTTGTAATCCTTTTTCTTCCATGATTTTATTTTTGATTAATTAGATGAATGTATGAATTGGATTGTTATTAGCATTGTTCGTCAAATGAGTGGAATTGTCCTGCAGTTGCGAACGCGTTAATTTCTTCATCTTTATTCTGAAGAGGAGTGTTAGAATGATTCAAGTATGAGAATTTAGTTGTTATTTGAAACATTTCATGATATTTGTTTAAGTACTAAATTCTTTATCATTGTCCGATTCTATTAAGTGGTGAACATTGCTTGTGTGCATTCTCATGCTTGAGCAAATCCTCTTATTTGAGAAAATATCTCTCATTTGAATTTGAATCATTAACCCTTTCTTGGTTGAGTGTTATGCTTGAGAAAATCCTCTTGTTTTCATGAGCGGCATACTTTGTGTGAGGACAAGCAAAAATCTAGTTGGGGAGAGTTTGTTAAGTGCAAATTTTGACTTAAATTGAACCATCTTTCTTGTCATTTTTCAACTCATTTCTCATGTTTTAATGGATTTATTTATTGTTCTTGTGTGATTCTTCAATTATATTACAAATACCTTTGGATGCTTTGATATGTGTGTTATTATGCAAGATATAGGCATAAAACATCAATGATTAAGACACAAAGGATTAGACAAGGAAGCTAAAGAAACAAAGAAGAATCAACATATTTGTTGTGCGAACACCAGCGAGGTGAAAGCGAATGCTCATTGTGTGAGATCTTGGTAAAGCCCTAGCGAACCATATCATATTAGAGGCAGTAAGAAAAGGATCCTAAGTTCGTTGTGCGAACTTGTAACAAAGAAGTTCGTTGGGTGAAGAAGTGTTTGCACTACGAACTCAGATATTTTCCAATGGCGGTTTAACTGTTCCTGAAGCACATGAAGTGCCTAAAAGTGGCCTTCATAGTGGGAAGAGGGTGTTCGCTAGGTGAGCAAGACAAATTTTGTAATACTATTTAAGTATTTTTCTTTCTTTTTAGAAACATAACTTTTATATAACATATATTTTGAGGATCAAAACTTGATCTCTCTTCATTCCAAGCATATTCTAGAGAGAGAAACAGAAATCCTAAGAGGGAGAAGCACAAATTGAAGCAACTCAGAGCTTGATCTTAGTGTAAGTGATTCAATCTCTTGTTGGGTTTGGGTGTAATATATTGATACCTTATGTATTTCATCTAATCTATGTATTGTGAACTAGTTTTGATTCAATATTGATGTTCTCTTTGATTTCTTTAAGCCACACTGCACAACTTCTTTGCCTCCAAATTTTTTCTTCTATCCTTAAGAGCTTATCCATTTGCATCTCAATAGCTTTGAATTGTTGGATTTCAGTTGGATCACCAAACCACTTTCTCTCCTCCTTAAGGAGACCCTCTAATCTCTTTAGTTCCTTCACAACAGTACTAGTTCTAAGGTCCTTGAAAGTATGTTGAAGGGTTGTACAGATGTTAATCTTTGTTGGATTGAAGAAGGAGCACTATTCCATAATTGTCTAACCAAATCCCCACATCTAGCATCATTCGACCAGACCTCCTTAAAACGAAATAGATAAGTTCTCCTATCGACTGTAGGCTCTTTCTGGATCAGAATACACAAAACGACATGATCAAAACCATGTCTTGCCAAATGAATCACACGAGTAAGAGGGAAACTTTTCTTGAAATCTATAGAGTACAAACCTTTGTCTAACCTGTATTGGACATTATCTTCACCCCGCCTACCATTTGTCCAAGTGAAGGGATATCCTTCAAAACTAACTTCCATAAGACCACACAAATCAAACACATGCCTGCTCCAAGAGAGTTGACTTGCAAATCTGCCTAAACCCTTCAACTTATCAACATCTTGGATCGTATCATTGAAATCTCCAAAGAAAAGCATATTTCCCCCACCTTTCTCGAATAAATCTTGAACCATCTTCCATGTCTCCCTTTTATTAGCTCCATTAGGATATCCATAGACCCCTGCAAAGGACCATGGGAACTCATATTCCTCTTGTTGGAAATTCCCATCAATATGATTCAAAGAGTAAGATGATATTAAACATCCACAACCTCATTCCACATTAGATATAATCCCCTTGCCCTATCCTTGCCAGACCCCTACAATCCACAGTTAAATTAAACTTGAACTTAACCTTCTTCTTGATTCTCAAAGTGTCGTCTTGCTTAAGTTTTGTTTCCATAAGAAAAACCATTTGGAGATTCTCAATCTGCAAGAGTCTCACAAGAGCTCAAACTGCACGGGAGTTCTCCAGACCCCTGTAGTTCCAACTTAAGGTTTTCATTAGAACAGGCGGTGTTGGCCATCCAACACTACCTCTGGTTGATTGATCAGAAAATCACTTCCAACTTCAGTCTGTTTCTGTTTATTCTCTCCAACCCCACAATCCTCTATTAAACCTTCTGTTATCATTACATCAACAAGTTGCCTCTTGAAATTATTTGGTTTTTGTGTCTTCGCTGGAGCGACCTCTCCATTCTTCACAATCTTCCTCCTATTCCACTTTCTATTCTGGATCCCTCCATTATCTCTTGGAGCCTCCAAACCAACCTTATTAATAGATAACATTACTTTTCCAAGACATTCAACAACTGTCGCCACATTAACACGATTACCTTGATTGGATTGAGTTGTATTTGAATTACTCTCCTTTTGGATCTCTGACTTATTGGCTTGTTGGACTTCATGATCATCACACTTACCTTTTCTTTTAGACTCGCAATGACGGTGACTCGAGAAAACGTTAAAGAGTTCTTTATTGCATAGGCTTGAACTTGATTCTTTCTTTTTTGCTTCGTCCATCAGCTTGGGAAGAGGTGACGCTCGTAGCCATTAACCAAATGATAAGTCTTGTTCCTCCAGTTCTTCGAACATTGAGATATTCAACCGCTTCACAGCCTGTTATCTGGTGTCCTATTCTACCACAAGCGAAACAGAATGTGAGTAGTCTTTCATACTTAAAGTGTACCTTGATATTATTCACTTTAGTCGTGGTTATAAAGGTGACAAAGAATGTTAAAAGTCATTAGCATTATAAGTATATTAAAAAATAATAAATATAATTTTAATTTTTTAAACTGATTTTGATTGAATGATATTCTAAAACCAATTTTAATAATTTGAGTGGTTAAAAAAATTTAATTGAAATTAAATATTGTTTTAGTGCAGTCAAATTTAATTCTTTGTTTAAATATTTTTTTAATCAATTTTAATTGATTGATATTATATAATCGATTTTAATTTGTGTGATTAGTAAATTTAATTAAATTTAATTCTTTGTTCCAACGTACTAGTAGAATTTAATTCTTGATTTCAATGATTTTGTTATTTGATATCCCTATATTATTCTTTGCATCAATTTTTTTTATTTCAATGATTCTATATAATGCAGTAGTAGAATTGCTGCTTCGTTGTCGTTATATATATATATATATATATTCTCCTTTGTGTTTGACCCACTAAATCGATGACTTATATATAAGCTCAAATAAATTCATCCAAACTGACGCATAATCTTGTAAGCTTAAGCTTTAAACTTACTCGAGCACAAAATTGTATTTTATTAGTAAACAATTGTATTATATCAAATATAAATCATAGCTTGGAGTGTGTGTTGGGACATACGTGAAAATATAAAAATATAGACAAGGGCATAAGCGTGCCAGCATAGAAGGGTGAATCACGTACAACAATGTAGTGTAAGGTGGACAAACTTGAGGTCCGATTAAAACCAACTCTTGAAATCGATTAAATCGATTCGACTTAATTATAAAACTGACTTAATCGAATCTAATAAAAATAAAAATTTATCAATTGAAATTGAGTTATAAAATAAACCTATAATTTATTTCTGATTTAAATTTTAGATCTGAAATCGACCGATTGGCCGGTTTTAATGGAGGATGGAGGATGATGCTTAGCTGTATAGAAATATGTTTCCTTTTTCTTTCCTAAAGTTAAATGCGGATGGAAGTGTTTTGTTCTATTAAAGGACCAAAACGTATAGGGTCATTATACTTGCATTGCATGTTCTTGTGAATCATTTTGCCAAAAGTTCTTTATCCTTTTTGTATCTGGCACTCGAACCTTTATATATAATTCCGAACTTTCCGGTATAAAACACTATGATAGATAAAAGATCTTTCAGCACTCTTAATCAATCACGTCATGTCTACAATTTATATATGTGGTCCTTTCATTTTAATTTTCGGATTTATTTATTGAATATTAAGTTAAATATGTTTGGAAAGAATGCCTATAAAATTACGACTTTTTAAATTTAACTTTAAAAACAAACTTAGTCTTTTAATCTCTATTTGCACTTGTTATAGATTAATTTGAGCACTAAAATTATATATTATTTTAAAAATATTTTTAAAATGGAGATTATTCTAACAAACTGAAGTATTATGGAGGAATATAATTTCAATTAAAATTTAATAATAATTAGACATATAAAAGTTATGAAGGTTAAGATTTTATAAAAATTTAAAATATATTTAATATTATAATAATATTGGAGTTTGTTTTGAATCGCTTAGAAAGCTAATGTGATATGCTCAATCACGAAGGTCTAATTAGTATATTTTTTTAAGTAATGGATAGGAAAAGTCTCACAGAAAGAAACACAACCCTCCAAATATTCTATACTGATTATCTTGCACATCACACACCATATTAGATAAAGGAAATTCTAACTAAAGAATGTATATAAACTTTCCTATGCGTTGGATACATATATTATCTCATTCTCATTCTAAAATTACATCTCAAAAACTTCACTGACTTAGATAATATAGTGTTAACCTTGTAAGTCCCCTTTGTTTTGTCGCACTAAAAGTTCCCGCTGCTGCACTAAAGAGCTCGATCCCTCATCATACATGTTTCTTGTTTCACTCTTGAACAATGGTGTCATATGTGAGAATCGACTTCTGATTCTCACAAATTTTCACATCGGATCCATCTGGTTCTGAAAGCGATGTCTCATTAGCAACGATCTCATACAATCTACGATGGTATTCGTCGATGGTATTCTTCGATCCAACTATCACAGTGTTGCGGCGAGAAAAAATTTGAGATTAAGCTATTAATTAACTTAACTCACAAAAGTAAGAGTCTCCACCGCTCTTTATTATTTCCAAAAGAATGGGAAAAGAACGAACAAAACTCACAAAAGTCTTAGAACAAAATTAATAAAACAAAGAGATAAGGGTACGGGGGGTTGCTTATGCAAAGGGAATGTGTTAGCACCCCTCACATCTATAGGAACTTCTTAAAAATTTGCGTTTGACTTAAAAAGGATGTTGTTTGTAAAAGGTTGGGGGAGATGAGAAGAGAAATATATTTTAAGATTTTTGTTTGACAAGACTTCTCGAGCCTCGTGCCTACGTACCAGCAAAGTGTAATGGAAGATCAAAACCTCGTAGTTCATGGTAAAAATAACAAAAAGGGTTTGTTTTGATTGATTTTAAATGAATAGACATTTCGTCATATTCGATTGGAAACTTAACTTACTACCCATAATTAATGAGGAAGGAGCATTTGCATCATCTTATGATAGATGACTTTTGCTTGGATTGAAATTAACAAGTATATCACCCAACATCTAAGTGGAAAATATCATCACTTCTCTATATTATTATGGAAGTATAGGAGTTGCATCACTACAAGAACACAACTAATGACTATCCTTAAGGAAATATTTAATGGGAAAAGGTGCACAAAGGCACAAAAGATTTGAATGAGTTTTTTGTTTTTTAAGTCTTTTGAAATTGTTTTGGTATGCTTAAGATGTCTTAACATTTATTTAAGAAAAAGATTTTGAAAATCACTTGACAAAGTTAAGGTTTATTGAGAAAGTGGTTCAAGTTTGAAAACAAGAAGATTTTGAAAAAGGAAGATTTTGAAAATTAAAGAAGGGGAGGAGATGAAGAGACTATCCTAATGCATAAAGTAAATATCAAGAAAAAAAATAAAGATTTCATTGTAAGGTAGTCCAAAAGGAAGTCTTTGTGTGTACATTGTGAACTAACTAGGATATAGTCAGCATTTGACATAAGCCAATCAAACATCTCATTTCTTTGGAGTGAGCCACAAAATAAGACAAGCATCAGATGAAAGAAGAACTTAAGTCATAAGATCAAAGCTATGTATCAGAGCCAAGTCTTTAAAGGTCAAGCAAAATTCCCAAGGTCTCAGAACAACCCAATAGCATAGGGAAAAGTAATCAAAGTCCATAGGTCCAAAAGTCAAACTCTAACTCAAAGTTAAGGATAGTGACCATTAGTCCAAAGATTAGATAACCAAGTTTTTTTAGGGTTTTTTCTTTATTAATGTCTTTAAAAGTAAAAGAAAATGTCCAAATGGACCAAGGAAAAAGAAGCATAAACATAAACAATATGAAAAGTAATGCTAAAAATAGAGGCATAACAGTAAAGAGCAAGAAATTAAATGACATAAAGTAAAGTTAGCACAATAATGATGTTAGTATTGATGTTAGAATTAATGAATCAACTCGGGACAAATTTAGCGCTATGTTAATAAATCGTAGCACAATCTATTGCGAAGATCATACTATAGGAGGCCGGTCAATAACTATTTATGTATCATACATGTTAGACATATGATAGAAACCATACTCGTAAAACATGTAGCACAAGTAAAAACCAATGAGAGATCAAGCACTAAGGCAAGAAGATTGGTCCATTATATCAATTATCCTTCATGATAACTTAGGAAAACCTTATGCATCAATCCAAAGTACCTCAAATGATCCATGAACAATCAGAAGGTAGATTTGAAATGATGAATGTTAATCAAGCATCAATTCAAACTTCATGAACAAGATGAACACTAAATCATCCAATTGATTAAGAGAAAAAGAAAAAAGAAAAGAAGAAAAAAGAGATGAAGAGAAATGAAACCAAATTGAACCATGACTTGAGATTCATCTATCATCAATTTCAATCACATCTCTTGGTAGATTAAGGTTCTAAACCTATCATCAACCCAAAGCATAAAAAATAACTGAACTAATCATTTAATGGTAGATTTGAATTGATGAAGATTCGTCCAACCTCATCAACACCCAAATTCCATTGAGCTTGAGGAAGATTTGATCAATCAAACCCTAATCTAAGTTAGCAGAAGTCAAACAATATTTAAAATGCAAAAAAGACATAAAATAAACCATTAAATGATTTTTAAATTGAAAATATAAGGGAAAATGGAAAAATAACATCAACATATCAAATAAATGGAAAACAAAAATATAGAAAAATCAGAAACGACTTAAAATATTTTTATAAATTTTTGGAATATTTTTCAAAACAGAAAACTATTTGTAAACCAATTAAAACAAGGCAAATAAGAGAAAATTAAAAGAAAATAGCAACAAAAAAAAACTAAAAATGATTTTAAAAATCAGAAAAACAAAAAACATATAAGGTAGGAAATATTTTTAGAAAAATATAGAAAAAAAAATGAGTGAAAAAGGTTAAGGGAGCTATTTCTAATGATTTTTGAAAGAAAAAGAAATTTAAAAGAAAAAAAATAAAATAAAAGCAAAATGTCTGGACCATTATATCAAATTCACACATCATATTGCAAGACACTAAGGTCATTGGATCAAAATACTAAGTCTAAGTCACCAGATCCAACGCACTAGATCTAAAGTCAAAAGACGTGCATGCTACCAACGACACACTTAATCGTAACGACTGAAAGATTTAAAAAAAGTTATGTGTCACCATGGCATTGGTTAGGATTTGAAATTGGATCCAAAATCTACGCAGTTTAGACTT